GATGCACAGGACCAGACGGAGGCAGACAAATGCACAGAACCAGGTGCACAGACACATGGAGCCGGGCTCCTGGGCCACTGGACAAAGTCCACTCCGAGGCATGTGTGCACCCGCCGGTATGCAGCTGTTGCCGAAGCCCAGAGCAGAAGTTTGCAGCCTCCCGGCTGCAGCCAGCCCAGGCTCTGGGTAGCTGCTGCCAACCACGGCAGGGCTTGCAGCCACCCAGCTGCCTGCTGGGAGCAGCCCAGGCTTCGTGGCTGGAAGCAGCTGCCTAGAGCCCAGGCTGGTGGTGGCGTGCCGAGCAAAATGGCCTCATGTGCCATGCTCGGCACACGTGCCAGGGGTTGCTGACCCCTGTCTTAATGCATAATGTGGGAAGAATGTTTATGGGAAAATAAACCTTTTTCTTTCACAAATTCAGTTTGCGTTCTAAAACTGCTTTGCGTGTCATCCACCTCTCTTTAGCACACATGACTTCTAGTCTGGTTTCTCTTCCTGCTGCCCCCCCTTCATGAGTTAGTCAGCTTCCCCAGATCTTTGTTTGACTGTTCCAGTTTTGGAAGTGTCTCTGGTCTCCAAGCAGATTTCATAGAGGTGATCTTGAAGCCATCTATAAATTCGTTGGTGTGGGGGGATGGCAGCAAGGAACAGGAGATAGTCTGTTTACCAGAGTGCCCCTTGGGGTAACTAGGAACAATGGCCACAAACTGGCAGAGAGCAGATTTCGATTAGACATGGGGAGGAACTTTTTTATGGTAAGGGTGACCCCAGAATTTGGAATGGGCTTCCAAGGGAGGTGGTGCTTTCCCCTACCTTGGGGGTCTTTAAGAGAAGACTGGACAAGCACCTGGCTGGAAGTAGTTTGCTTATGTGTCAGTACCACCTTCCTGTGTATCAAGTCCTGTTTATTTCCATTTACTTTCTCAGCCTAGACTTCTGCCAGCAGCCTGAAACAAGGAATGGCAGGTGGCCTGCTGACTCTCAGGTTCAGTGAAGGCGCCCCGGACCACCGGTGCACCTGGATTGCAGCTTGAAATCTGCTGATTGAACTATGCAGTGAAGAGAGAATGGGGAGTGTATTGTAGATGGTGTAATTCTAAACCCACTTACAAGATCCCTTTTAGCAAGCCCAGACAGTCTTCTGAATGTTCACTGAGAGTGGAAAAGGCAGACTTTTTGTACCTGATCTCCCTGATGAGGTGATTTGGTAAGAAAGCTTGTTTTACCATTGTTCTCTGATGTTGGTGGGATCATAGCGGTGTTGATAAAATAAAGAGTAAAATGGGATACATATGTCTTCCCTTCAAGATTGGATAACTGCATCATGCTATAATTAAGTTTGAAGGTTCTCTTTTTTTGGCCTATAAAGCATCAAGCTGTCTGGGGTCCTCCTCCTTGAAGAGCTGCCCCAGTTTTCATGCCATGCCATACTGCTGTAGTTAGTGGAGGTACAGAAGCTGCATATTTTCCCTCTCGGTTGTAACACAGAAGAATGGATTCAAGGATTTTTCCGTCCTATGTTTGTTTGAGTGAAGCTTTTCATGATGTAATTTAAGATGTGCTGCCAGCTGAATTCTAGATCAGTTAGTTACTTTGTCAAAATTAAAAAAAAATATTTACATTGGAATACTAACAGGAAAGAATATAAAAGCTGCAAAGCGGAAAATAGGCCTGTTGCCTTGTTTTTTAGACATAGCTGGGTGTAAAAGCTTGCAGGCTATCAATCTCATTTTTAGAGTTCCTGATATTTTTTTTTTTTTTTTGAAGCAAGACTTTTCTGTTGCTGGTCTTATTTTCACACTCTGGGTGGATGGTGTTGAATCTTGAATACTGTTTCTCATATTTTAAGTCCCTTGTCCTTTCAATTGTGTAGGCTTTATGTATTACCTGCTTGTGATAGTATCCTACCTTACTCCCATAATACATGATCTTAAAATATATATATATAAAAAAAAAAGGTGACCTTAATGTCTAATATTAAAAGCACATGCATTATGCTTTTAATGCATTTGTGGATTTTTTGAGTATTTGGGTATCTGTACTATTTAGTTGATGATTGAGAACTAAAGCATCTACTTTTGCTTTTGCAACTTTTTCTCAAGCAAGCTTAATTTGAAGGTTGAGAGAGGTGAATAGCAAGGTAAGCAGTGGCTGAGAAGGTGAAGGTAAGAGATGGTTAAATTGTCATGAGGCCTGTGTTCCTGTTACAGAGATATTTATTTTGATTAGATCAGGATTATAGGGCAGACTGTACTTTCTGCTTTGCAATGGAAATGCATGTCTTAGGCTTTTTTGGGGGTATGTCTGTTTACTGAAAGTGGTTGTCTTCCATGAAGGACAATTTTTCTGGGCATTTTCAGTCTACCTTTACTGTAGATAGGTGGGTGAGTTTGAATAAATCTTGGAAAGGAACTTTTGAGCTCATTAGAAAATCATTTCATAACATGGGTGAAGTTTTTACCCTTGTGTGGAGGGTCAATGCAAGACCTAGGTACTAAACTGTTATACATCTTGTGCATATACTTTGTCCAAATATGAATTTAGTTTCTTGGCCTACTCCAAATATGAATTTAGTTTCTTGGCCTACATAATTCTGACTGCTTTCTCATGCCATGTTGTGTGAGTCTTGCATGTCAGTCTATTAAAAGATGGAAGGAAACAGTCTTAGAACGTGAGCCTTATTCCTCTGTGTAATACTGTCTTCTCTGGCTTCCAGCATTTATGTATTGAATATTAAAATAAGAACTGGGTGAGCTGTGGGATATTGGTTGCTATAACATTAAGGACACGTTCAGACTGTAGAGAACCCAAGCTACGTGGTGTCCAGCTACATAGATGAAAGAATCAAATTAAGCACCTAAAATGTTGTGGTTTTTAAGTTTTTGATGATATAAATACAGCTTTGTTTGTTGCTGTGCTCCCAAGGCATGCACATAATATTATTCCTACTGCATGATTGTGCCTCGTTCATTATGTGAACAAGGACAAGCTATGTCAAGGGTTGTGTGAAACAAGCCAACTTCTTAGAATTTTGCTGAGAGAGCTGGATGCATTTGCCCTATTTAATGATAAAACTAATACAATTTGTAAATGTGAGTTGACTGAACATAAGTATACCGTGCCATCTTTAATCGTTATACATAAAAACCCCACTTTTTCTCAAGCTTGTTGTCAGGCTCAGTTGTTGAGTATCAAGTCATAGCGATGATTTGAAACCTTGATCTGTGTGTAAGATGCCATCAGTAAGCTATGAAATATTCTAAAAATAAACATCCCCCAAATAAATGAGACATCCTGGCAAGCAGAAGAGGATGGGAGAGAACAGCAGGACTTAATTTTGCATAATACTCTTAATAAAATTATTTAATCTTGTAATGGATTTTGGGAGATGGACTAAGGTAGTAGGGACTTGGACCATCTCTCCTAGGCTAGTAAACACTCTAAGGAATCACATGGCTATAAAGGCATTAAATATTGATAGATGCCTGGCTGTGTTTCTGACAGGTTGGCAGCAGCCCTAGTTTGAGAGTTTGTAGCATAATCGTTTTTTTTCCCCCCCAGCTTTCAAGCGAGGCATGTTTCAGTGGATTTGGGGACACTGCACTGGCTCTATGTTCATACTTTGTACTGGGAATCAACTGCTTGGGGTTGAAGAGAACCACAGTAGGTTGCAGAGGACTACGTCCTGTAGTCCCTGAGTGGACTTTAAAGTTTTTTAGGTTGCCCAGGTGACTGTGGGAGCTGACGGACAAAAATGTTCCATAAATGGGTACTGGAGTGCTACATGAAATGAGATGTGTGAGTATTCAGGTCAGTCTTACAGGTGTAGTTTGCCTCTGAAGGCTACCTTCCTAGGTTGCTATGAAGACAAAATTGCTGACTTATGCAGCCCATTTGACTTGGTCATGTTCCTAGAAGCACTTCATTCCTATCTTTACAGGCCCGAATAGGAATGACAAGTAGTAACAGCTAACAATCTATCTGATTTTATACTGTTAATAACTGGATTACTTCTTACCTTACTTTCACAGATCTTCAGGACTCTTTGTGTATTTTGCTCTTTTGTAACCTTTGGTATATAAACACTGTTCACAATACTTTTAATTTGGATTATGAAGTATGTGCTTTATTTAACATCAGTTGTGTCCACTTAATGTAAATCCTGAATAGGTGTTCTTTCTTAATCTTGAAATGACAAACAGGATGCTGGCTCATATGGGAGGGGCGGGATGTAATCATGGATATCAAGCTTAGTCATTTCCCTCTATCGCAGTGGGAGCTGGGAAGGAATACACTGGTTTGAGTTCCCTGCTGTCCTTGGTGCCCTTTTCACTACCTGCACAGAACAGGATTGTACAGAGTCAAGAGCAAAAATGTGATCGGTGTAGCTGAGGTGACCCAAAGCTTTGAAGATGTGTGCATTTTAGTGAGAATGAATCCTCTGAGCCTAAATTGTGTAAAGTTCTGTAACTCCAGTGGTTTCAGAAAAAGTTACTCAGTTAGTACAACAAGCTACTCACTATTGCAATAAAACTTAGCCTGCAGTTCTCAGAGGGAGTTCAGCATTTGACTGCCTTTGTATTTCAGTGGGATTTGAGTACGTAACCCCCACATAGCCTTAGCAAAATATTTAACTCCTTTGATCAAAATCTAACCTCACTAGTCAATATCTTATTCATTTTTTGTTAGAAATTCATTGAATTTGAAGATTCTCAAGAACAAGAGAAAAAGGACTTGCAGATCAGAGTGGAAGCGCTGGAGTCACAAACTCGACAGCTGGAACTGAAAGCAAAAAACTATGCTGATCAAAGTAAGTAGAAGTCTTCTGTGCCATAAGTGTGCCCTCATTACATTATGACTTAAGGGAGATGGGAAATTCAGCCCGACATGTTTATAATACAGCAGCAACCCATGACAAAGCTATTTCTGGTAACTGGTCCGCCGCTCCTGGCAAGTGTGTTTGAAATACGTTGAACTATTTTGTTTCAGCTGTAACAAGGAGAAATTTAGATGCTAAATCAGGGGTGGACAAAATATGACTTGCGGGCCATATCCAGTTGATTTGTATATGGCCCATGCCTGTAACTGTGGCACCCTGCTTGGGGCTGAGCCCTGCCCAGGGCAGCCAGCCCCACCCCCCACTCCTGCCTGTGCCTTTTGACAGCACAGTCCTGGCCAGCATGCACAACTTCCCAGCAGGGCTTTTCCTTCTCCCATCCTGCCCCTGCTATGCAACTCCAGGCTGGGGGTAGGGGAAGCTGCAGCCGTGCAGCTCCTGCCCCAGTGCATGGGGGTTCAGCTTCAGCTGCTGGCTGCCTTCCACCCACTCTGCCTGCCTGGCATGATGGGTGGTCACTTGCATCTGCTTTTAAACATTGAATGTATCTTGCTTCACATGGTCCCTGCAAACTAATTAACTGTTTACTTTTCATTAACAGACTAGGACACTAAAGTGTTAATTGTGTATGGTTCCTAATGCAGGACTAGATTACAGTCTGACCATTCCAGACATGATATTACTTGGCACGGGTATGCTATTTTCTCTCTGTTCAGCAGGCTGCCATTTAGCAGAACAGATTTCTGTCTCAGTCTCCTCCTTTTTCGTCCCGTGTTTGTTGTTTTTTCAGCCAGTCTTGTTTACTCATCATTGCATTATGGGGCACGGATAGCTCTTGCTTCCTTACCAATGTAAAAAATGCACTGCTTTTTTTAATGACGTGTAGAATACCCAGTGCATCTGAACTCGGTTTCTTGAGCTGTCTTAATAATGTGAAGTCTTCATTTTTGTTACACTTGAGTTGAGAAATTGCTTGTGGTATGGCTGGATTAGAATATTGTTGACGCATGTGTATTTGCATGGTCTGTGCCACGAAGCTAAGATCTGCTCACATGAAGGAACTCTTACTGAAAACAAGAAGGGGAACCTTGGCACTTCTTAAATATTGTCGCACCAACTAAACATCAGAATGGTCAGTATTATTCCTGTTGACTTCAGAATTAGTAACCTTCAACAGATGCTGAATTGATCAGAAATGTAAAACTAAATTTGAGTTCCCACTAGAGCATTTCTTCCTGATGCTCCTTTTTGGAAGCTGCATCTGTGTGTGACTTAAGTTGCCAATCTCTGAACTTGAGCTTCTCACCTGTTAATATCTGTCCAGGACAAACTTTAGCATTTCAACTGGTAGATTTGAGGACATCAGGACTCAATTTTCACACAAAAGCTTAAGTACTTAAATACCTATTGAGGATCTGGGCTTGCACCTTAGCGTGTACTCTTTGTTCAGACTCTGCTTTATACAACACAAAGGCCAACTTTCCTCAAAAGTGCAGTGACTCTGGAAGTCAGGAGGTGCTGCAGGTCCTCAGAGGCTTTGAAAGTAATGCCCCTGGTCTTAATATAGGATTTCTTTAGGCAGTATTTCTTAATTAATTAGAAGTGGTGGTTTTACATTTTATTTCTACTTCTGTCTTTAAAGCACTGCTTCAGGGTTTGCTGTTGTCCAAACTGAGTGCTGTGTCTTGACTTAACAAATGCTTCATATTGCCTGCTTTAACTTAAAAGTTCAGCATATCACAAGTGAGTATTACTACTACTGTGTGTTTTCAGTTGCTGAACTTTTAAATAACCTGCAAAGACACTAAACTAGTGACATTCTGGCTCTTTTCAAAGAGCTGTCTTCGAAAGATATTTTTTAAAGAATTGTGCTTGCTTGTATTTATTGTGGTATGTCTGTCTATCTCTTTTTTTTTGAGTCGTATTGTCCTCGTGACCCTATGGTACACAACACCAGCGAGTGCCACATCTGTGTATTTTCCAGTTTATAATCTGGTTTTCTCTCTTTCCTATAAAGACTTTTGCTTGTGATTGGGATTTAGCATTTCTGATGCAATAGGCACAGTAGGCTATTGGAGGCAGTGCAGGCTTTGCATTCAGTTCAGGAAGGAAGCAGCAGGCTGAATTGAACTTTTCCTGGTAGTCCTGTTTCTGTTGGATCAGAAGAACCTATTGGCAGTTACTGGTTCCTTTTTTTTCTTTTAAGCTCACATTTTATATACTTGCACAAAATCCTGCTTGTCCAAGGAGCAGAATCTGAGAGTTGGCAAGATCTGTTTTGCAGAAGAATGGTACTTGGCTTTTGGAGTAACGGTCATCAGCAATATGTAATTTGGGTGTTAGAGCATTGAATTGTAAACCTTTCTGAAACGTTCTGATGGGGATGCGATTCAAGAAATATCTGAAGAACGGCCTTAGACGCAACTGAATGCTAATGAGTTTTCATACTGTATCAGTGGCCAGCTTGGCACAGAATTTGGAAACAACTGCAAATGTTTGATGGGCCATTAATGGAAATTGAGAGGCAAAAGATGAATGGGATAGAATTTGAGCATCTGAAAATAACACGTTACAAACAGGCTGCCAAAAACCTGATATGAAAACTGATAGGGAAGCAGTGGATTAAGCTTATTAGTATGTAGGTTGTCTAATCGGCTTGACCTGTCTCTTGATTTATGTGAGAATTCAGCTGGGTGTGTCCTGCAGTACAGAAGTGTAGGAAGCCGTGTCTCATTGTCATTCACTACATGCAGCTACTGGACTTGTGGCTGCATTCCTTCTCTCTCGCCTACTGCTTCCCATACTAAATGCATTTAAATAAGCCTATGGCACATTGCCACTCTTGACACTAAGTGCTTGATCAGATGTTGATGTAGTAGCATTAATAATAGGGATGCTTAGGACAGAGCAGTGAAGCAAATGAGACTGAATGTTGGACTGAGTGCACCAGTCCCAGGCTGGACTCGTGCTTGGTTAGGAGAGCACCTTGGGAGTCCTAGGTGCCCTAAGCGCAATTAAAGGAATTGAACACTTGGAAAGTACTAGATCCTAAAGACCAGAAGAATGGAAAGACTTATTTTAACCCTATCACTGCTGTTGATTCTTTTCTGATTACTCAGTTGAAATCTGTGTGGGGGGTTTTTTTGGGTTTTTTTTAAGGTTAGATCTAGCATAATTTTTTTGCTGTAATTTAAAGCACTTATCAGAGTATAGCAGTGGTCACCAACCCATGGATCTCAGTCCACTGGTAGATCTCAGAGCTTCCTGTGGTAGATCACAGAGCCTCTTGGAGTTGATCCAAGGCTGGGGTGGGGGGCTGAGCGCCCACATGCATGCAAGTGCACACCCCAGCCGAGCAGGTCGGTCTGGGGAGGGAAGGGGCAGGGACTAGATCGAGGCCCCTGCAGTGAGGGACAGTGCTGCAGAGGCAGGAGCAGGTGTAAATTGAGTGTGGCCCTGGCCGGTGGGACTTTCCTGCTGGGGAGGAGAGTCCCCAGATATTTTTTCCTCCCTCTGCCTCAGTCTGCCCCACCCTTCCTGCCCCACTGCAGGGCACAAGGTAGATCTTGGGTTGCTTTTAAATGCCAGAGGTGATCTCCTATTTAAAAAGGTTGGAGACCAGTGGAGTATAGGTTTAGGGTCCCTGGACCCTCCAATTCCAGATATTCAGGAATATCCATAGCTTTGCCAGTTTATATGAAGAGTAGTTATGTCCTGAGAAGTGACAATGTAAAAGCAAAACTATGGATTTTTATAGTTGTGACTTATTTTAATGTTTTCTTAGTGTAGATCATTGTCTATAGAAAATTCAAAGAGTCAAAAGTTAGGAAATATCAGAGACACCTTAATTTGAACATCTTATACACACTTATTTTGTTAAATGATCACACTGTTCTCAATAACTCAATGATCTCAATGATCACTGCTTCATCCAGTGCTTACGCAACTATGAGCAACTTTTAAAGATGCATTTATTTTCATTTAATATGTGGCATTTTGTCTCTTTTCCATGTGGCATCCAAACCTTTCACTGAGTAGTGAATTTCCATAGAGAAACTTGTAAGGGGCTCCTACCTGTTTTATCATCACAAATGTAAATAAATTTATTTTCACAGCATTTACAGTGGGTATTATTTCTTTCTCAGCTGAGGCAGAGAGACGACAATAATTTCGGCCTTCAAGTATGCTACCAATGTGGTGCCTTTCTTCAAGAAAGGGAGGAAAGTGGATCCGGCAAACTATAGGCCCATCAGCCTGACTTCTATCCTGGGGAAGGTCTTAGAAAAGTTTATTAAAGAGGCCATCCTTAATGGACTGGCCGACGCCAACATCCTGAGTGATAGCCAGCACGGATTTGTTGTGGGTAGGTCTTGCTTGACCAATCTCACTTCCTTCTATGACCAGGTGACCTATCACCTGGACAAGGGAGAAGAGATTGATGTCTTGACTTCAAAAAAGCCTTCGATCTGGTATCCCACGATCACCTCTTGGCGAAACTGGCCAGTTGTGGCCTTGGGTCCACCATGATCTGCTGGCTGGGAAATTGGCTCCGTGGTTGGACCCAGAGGGTGGTGGTTGATGGAAGTCAATTGTCATGGTGTCGTGTGACCAGTGGGGTCCCCCGAGGCTCTGTCCTTGGACTCATTGTTCAACATCTTCATTCATGATGTAGACATTGGAGTCAGAAGCGGACTGGCCAAGTTCACTGATGACACCAAACTTTGGGGCAAAGCATCCACACCAGAAGACAGAAGGGCGATCCAGGCTGACCTGGACAGGCTCAGCAAATGGGCGGACGAGAACCTGACGGTGTTTAGCACTGAAAAATGCAAGGTTCCTCCACCTTGGGAGGAAAAACCTGCAGCATCCTTATAGGCTCGGCAGTGCTACGCTGGCTAG